GGTTTGAAGCTCTCAAAGGTCTTAGGAACATCTGTTGATCACCATGAACCATACCCTGCTTGTCTCAAAAGTAAACAATTTTATAATCTAGGAAAAGAAGAGTTCAAAAAACACAACTGTCCTCCAAATCAGGTCCTCAGCTACTGCCTAATTTAATGCTTAATCTAACAGGTTAAGACGGTACTTACTGCTTCACCAAAAAACAAAGTACCCCCCCCCCTTCTGAAAGATAATCTGTGTGGAGCTACCCGCCAGCTGCTAAAAGCAGCCCCTAAAGCTGCAAGGCCGACCTACCTTCACAGGAACGCTGCCAGCCAGCATTCTGAAATACTACCATAAACTCTTCCCAGCGTTTATAAGTCCTTCCTCTCCAAATGTCTTGGGACTCAAAATAACCTGGATAGAATCCATTTCCCAGTAAAAGGAAAACAAAACAATACTGGCCTTTACTATCCCAAGTGCTTTACATTTCAGTACATGCGATATACATTATTAAGATGGGGTTATTCCCACCATTCTACAGGAATACTAAGGCTCAGATAGATCAACTTTCCCAACACAAAGCCAGTAAGAGGCAGAGTTGGTCTGATTCCAAATTAGCAGAAACATTGCACCTTGCTGCCAGGGTGTAACAAGTGCCTATACTTTTTCAATCTACATTAGGAATTCCTTAAAGATATGTTCTTGGGAAAGAAGGAGGGGGACACTGGTGGCAAGTCTACTTACTGGCATCCTCCAACTTTGCTCAGGGCCCTAATGTCTAAGGGTCTACAAAAGCTATATCCTGAAATCGCTGATGAAATAAAGACTCCATCCACATAATCTACTTGTAAAACCAAAACCAACTTAAGCTAAGCCATCAGGTATATTTTGAAAACAGCCAGATCTCAATGGGATTGAGAAGTTTATTTTTCTGTATAACTTTGTGGGTAAAACACAGGCCCCATTCAAAACCACGATTTCTTCTGAGGTGAGTGCTACTGGTTGAGCACCCTGAAGAGCTGTCATCTTATGGAGGGACCTTTGCTTGCTGACTGGGGAGAGACAGTTGTTTGCTAAATGGGAAAATTAATTTTTAGAGCTAGAAGAGAATCACTTTGGAGGCTACCTAATGCCTCACTAAGATTTTCAGCTAGTGTCAGCCACGGGTTTGGTTTTAATTTACACTTTTTTTCCTTTACCAGAAGGACATTAGAGAGGAAGATAACAAATTCACAATTTCCCAAAAAGCAATGACTACAAGGAGGCGGGAGGGCTGACTCCAGGTCCTCTCACAAGGAAATCTAGCACTTCACTGCTGCTGTAGCTAGTACCGATGCTAGTAGTAAACATCAGGAGGTGCTTACTATGTGCTAAATTTCATGTACATAATCCAAGTAATCCCCAAAGTGACTGTGTGTTCCATGCTATTATTAACCTCATCACACAGATGAGGAAACTGAGGCTTAGAGAGGCAAATCACTTGCTAAAGGTCACCCAGCTTAACTCGGTTATAGAAAGCCACTCAATTTATAATAGGGAGGCCAAGACTTGGCCCAGATCTGACTGTCATCATCCTGGCATTTCTTGCTATGGAACTGCCAACTGGGGAGCTGATTATTTTTAGTTTCTTCCCTGCAAATAAGACCCAAAGTGGGATAGAGAAGAGCTTCCCACTTACTACTTTGAGGTTTGCCTTTTAAAGAAGAAATTTGAGGGCAGCGGACTATAGATTAGCCTTTACCCATTCCTAAAAGCCAAAAGAAAGGGGGGGGGGGAAACCCAGCTTTAGATGGGTACAGACACACAAGCTTTCTCTAAATTCTGATATTAGGAATCCTATAAAATTCTAAGAACTATAACTGATAGTTACTTTAATGACAAGAGTTGGCAATATCTTTTTTTAATGCCTGGACTTTGGAAGTAGTTGTATGTAAGTAAACAAGCACATCATTAAAATATATATTGACTATAATTTTTTAAATTTTCAAAATGTTTTAGTGAAATCTAATAGAAAATTAATTTTCTTTGTATTATATCCATACACTTCAAGAACTTTTTTTGTTGTGTTAATCTTCATCTAAGGATATTTTTTCCACTGATTTTCAGAGAGAGTAGAAAGGAGGAAGAGAGGGAGAGGTGGGGGGGGGGGGAGGGGAGATAAACACTGATGTGAAAAAGACACATCACACATTGACTGGTGCCTCCCTCACACAACTCAGGTACATGCCCTTGACTGGGAATGGAGACCCTTGTGTCCACAGACTGTCACTCTAACCACTGAATCACACTGGCCAAGATCCTTCAAGTACTTTTGATCTACACTTATACAACTTATTTCTAAAATAAGGTCTTGCAGTTAAAACTAAATTTAATAGTTTCATTCAGTACTATGTGTGTGTGTGTTTTTTCATTTCAGAAAATGTGGTACACTAGACACAGCATTAAGCAAGTACATTAATCAACTCATGGGGGCTAACTTAAAAACAGACTTTACCTAAATGTATGTAAATTTGCCTCTTGTTCCTATCAAATTGGAAAAAAAAAAATCTCTCCAACCACTGTCCTATACCTCATGTACTAGTCCTTTAGGGAAGGTGTTTTTTTTTTCTTTTCTCTAAATGCAATCATTTAATTTTAAAATAAAAACATTTTAAAATAAATTCTAATACCGCAGCTGCCGTTTTGGCAGTGAGACTGTCACACAGAGAGCTGGTGTTAAAAGATCAGATTAAGAGCCTTCAGTCCTGGCACCAGTGAGGCTCGCAGCCATGCAAGAGTGATTTTCCATGCCTCTGAAGAGACAGGAAATAGAATTCATCTTCCTCTAATAACCTGCCTCCTCGCCTCCCTCCACATTACCGTCCATCTGGCCTCAGGGTAAAGGCAAGGAGTCTGATGCTCACAGAATGCCCAGAAGGGGAAAGAAGGTGGGCAATGTTCAGACACAAAACATCAGAGAGGACTGGATTGGTCAGGAACAAACATGTCTGTGGCCCACACATGAGAAGATATAAACACACCTTAAGAAACTAAAAAAAGATGAGCCAATTAATCCAAAGTAAGCAGAAGAAAAGATATACACAGAATTAGAATTTAAAAACCATGACATAGGTCATTCATTACACATGAATCAAGCATTTCAACCAAGAAATGTCAAAGGTAGTGGGGAAATAAACAGTAAGTGATGAGATTATGATGCCTACTCTCGCACCTCACGCATAAAAGGAGCTGCCAGTATCGCCCCCATGGCTTTCCTCTACAGGGTACAACTTCTCAGCCAATTAATTCCAGTCCAGTCTTGCTCAGCAACACTACCATTACACATTTTGCTCCTACTGGACCTGCTTACACAAACAACATAACTCATGTGGGAAAACCACCTACTGGTAAATCAGCTCCACCAACATCCCCAAGACCTCCTTCCACTTCTAAATATAACACCACAGATCCTGCAGTAATGCCATGGGAAGAAACTGTCTAGTGATTATATAGAGGTCTGTGCCTGCAGAGGTCTAATACCACCTCAGGGATAATTCAAACTTCTTCTGCCTTGGGTTGTGTCACCTCAGCCTGGTTACAGCTCTGTGGGTTATGCATTCTTCCCATTCTCCATAAAGCAGAGCTGCTTCAAGTCAGAAGAAACACACACTGGTCTGGAGTGGGCAAAGGGCACCCAGGCTTCCTAAAGGAATGCCTACAGGCCCTTGACTCTCCTTCACCACCCCATCTAATCTAGTTACAAGCAAATCCCGAGTGGAAATAGGTAAATGGAGATACAGTGGGTGGTGGTTCTGTGGTAACAGCTAAAGGGGGAGAAATACAAAACACCCTTTACTGTTTGTGATCCAGAAGAACATTTGAATTCAGGATTTTAACTTATGTCCAGGATTTGTGAATATGAGCACCAAAAAGGGATATATACCCAATGAAAGGTAGCCATGGTTACTCAAGTCTAACCCAGTTCAGACCAAATAAGAAGTCACAGAGAATCCACATCTCTGTAACATACATGCATCGCAAATACCCTCTGCACACTAACATCAGCAGATCGTGCCCACTGATAGGCAGGCGACAAACCACTCTCCTTCAAAGCAGGGACAGACACACTTAAAAGAACAGAAGGGTAGGAGGAAAGTCGCTCAGTGCTTTCTATCCTACAACACATAACTCTGTGACTGCAGGACATGCAGATATTTCATTAGTTAGCTTCTTCTCACAGCTTATCTTCCCTGAGCAATGAAGGATTCAGTAATACAAAAATCAAAAAGTATCCCTTTCCAGCATGCTCACCTAAATTTCTAACTACCCAAAGCAACCAAGCAAATGAACAACAACAAAAAAAAGCCACATGGAAGCCACCGTGCACTAGAAATACACCTCCTCATTCCAGCATATGTACATCTGTGGACAGGTGGTGAGCAAGAGAGAGCGAGAGAGCTGCATGCCCCCCTGGCCTTGGCAACGCATGAAGTCCATGGCGTTCAGAGCAGTGAGTCCACTGAGCCCATCTTGCATCTTTTCTCAAATGCACAGGCAATACAAAGACTTCATGAGGTAACAATAGTAACTTTTTAAGAGCAGCTACACAAAAGTTACATTAGTTTGTGTTTACTACATAAAGTAGTTTCTATTTGATACCTCTTCTGACAACTCACTGCCCAGTGACACAAGTGTAGAACAAGCTTTTGTCTTCTGGGAAATTTTTTAAACTACCCTATTAGATGCCATTAAGACAAACAGTCACAATTCTGAGTAACACTACATTGTCCAATGACAGCAGATATTTTAACAACTGAATTTTCCTTCGCATATTACAAACATTCCATTATATAAACACAATTATTTTCCACTAAATGTATGTAAGGTGTAGAAGTTGGAATACGAACACTGTACCTTAGAAATGTGTAATACAAACACCAAGAGGCCGACAAGGGCAAAGAGTCAGTCCCACAATCCCCCTTCTGCAAAACCACTAAAACGGCACCTTCTAGCCCAGTGCCTGAAACCAACTGCCTTACCTCTTGGGACAGGAAAGGAATGACTTGTGCACAGATAGCATTCAGCCTCTTGACAATCTCTGCCTGTAAAAAAACAAAAACAAAAACAAAAAAAAGGAAAGGAAAGCAATGAAGAGAACAGTCAGCTGGTTACAAATTCCCAAAATATTAACAAGATGATATTAATACACACTTTATATTCTGGCTGGTATACTTCATAAGGAAGAGGAAAACACTCATCAGCTAGCCCACTAAAGGGCAGCAGTGACAACAGTGCCACATTAATAGCACAATTTATTAACCAGAATTCATCTTAAAAAGTCAACCTTCAAGAACCAGGACAACATAAAAAAATTTAATTTTCATAACTGGAAATCAGTTTCAAAAGCTTCAACAGGACCCTTATTCAATCTGATGTGGTTTTTCATAAAAACCCAAGTTTTTAGAATTTAGATAATAAATATACATTCTTCTCTATATCTCAACTTCTCTCAATTAGTACTCACTGGGATTTTATAATTAAGTCCCCAACCTCTCCCCAAAAATAGCACCCAACCAACCCCCAAAAGTTGATTAATTCATATCCTTAGCAATAAATTGTTGAAAAATGGCATGTTTTCTTTAACCATAAAAATTCCCAAGTGTATTAACCAAGATTTTCTGTGTGAAGAGGTTTAGAACATGCTAAAAATCTTCCTATACAAGCAATTTGTGTGTATATGGAAACTAACCTTGGGAACTAATCATAGCACTATATATCTGTAAAAGTCCCAATAATGTCAGATAACAGATTTTTCTCTAATAATTTTTGTAAGTATACACATTTTACAAAAATAGGATGCTGCAGTAAGTTTGAAGGAGGGAGGGAGGGAGGGAGGGAGGGAGGGAGGGAGGGAGGGAGGGAGGAAAGAAAGGAAGGTCGCCACTATGTTTTCTTTAAAACACTACTCAAAGCTTCACCAATGTTCATCTTAATTTGTAAATTTGTATTATCAGACTAGAGGCCCGGTGCAGGAAATTCTTGCACAGCGGGGGGGGGGGGGGGGTCCCCTCAGCCCAGCTTGCACCCTCTCGCAATCCGGGGACCCTTGGGGGATGTCCGACTGACAGTTTAGGCCCAATCCGGCAGTCGGACATCCCTCTTGCAATCTGGGACCGCTGGCTCCTAACTGCTCACCTGCCTGCCTGATTACCCCTAACCACTCTGCCTGCCTGCCTGATTACCCCTAACCACTCGCATGCCTGCCTCCCTGATCGCCCCTAACTGCTTGCCTGCCTCATAGTCCCTAACCGCCTCTGCCTCGGCCCCTGCTGCCGAGGCTTTGTCTGGATGTCCGGAATGACATCCAGAAAGTCGTTCAGCTGTCCAGTCTAATTAGCATATTATGCTTTTATTATTATAGATGGCTCCTTATAGACTTTGGCATGTGACAGGTAAACACATTTCTTTTATATACATACAAATAAAATAGCTTATATTTTACTGATGAGGTGGGCAAAAGGAGAGGAGTACTGAAAGGCAGATAACATAAAGCAATTACTATTTTTCAAGCATTCTTAAAATAAATTCCATCAGGGTCAGTTCCTCATTTTTTAAAAGAACAAAATGCTCTCTTTCTTACTAAGTCATTACCAGAATGATAGCGACACGCCTTGTGCATTCTAGGTTTCCTTCTCTCATCAGCAACCCTTGACTTGATAGCAAAGCATCTTTTAAATGCCAGCACCTTACAAACTTTGCCAGCCAGGAGAAAACACAAATTCACCAAGTTCCAAACCTAAATTTTCCATTCCAATTCTGCATTCCTAACAGGATGGACAAAAACCTAGCACCAACAAGCAGCAGTGAATAAGGACCCAACTGTGCTGACCTGATTTAATTTATGGCACTTGCCCCATGGAGCATTTAGCTATCCTTTAAGAATGCTTAAACCACCATGAAAAGCTGCAATGGGAATCACCAAACCACTCTCCACCTGGACGAACATACCACAGTGGTTATGGGGTGAAATTCCAGTGTGAGCTGAGAAAAGAGAGTAGCATTCACCAGACTAAAAGCACAGTGTCTCAAAGGCATTTGGTTGTTAAGCTTTCTGTAGCAAGAGGTGGAGGGAGAGAGAATAAAAGATAATGAGACACTTTGGGGCAGACCAAACTGATGATTCTAATGCTTAGAACCATCTGCCAAGCATATTTTCCTCATTATGTTGTTTACATAAATAAAATAGTCCCTTGCTAGGAGAGTTGAAAAATGTGTGGGCACATAAGAAAACTGAGTTCTTTAGTTTGCCTATAGGCAATAAAAACTACTCTAAGGAAACTTAGCTGGCAAAACAAAGACCAAGAGGTATTTATCTGGCTTCTTTAACTTTGGACCTAGGCTATTTCAAGTCTAAACAAATATGGAAAAAAGTCTGTATTTTCTTTAAAAATGTAGAAAAGTCGTTTTATTGGTTCATATATGTTTACATGCACACCTAACAGAAAAAGCAGAGGGGGCGACCTCCCAAACATTTTCTTTAAAGGCCTCCTTTTGTTTAAAAGACTTCTTAATTTCTTTAAGTTGTCATGCCAATGGATTTTCATGGTCAGGCTAATTGGCAGCAGGGGGGTGGGATGTGTGTGTGTGATTTCATAAAATTAAGCCAGTCATTCTTCACTTTGAAAGCTAAAGTTGCCTCGGAAACACTGCTGCTTCCATGGTCATCTAATTTTGCTTCTTTTGTCCCATAGGATCCAGCTTTAGGGAGGCATCATTTATTTACAGGCCTTTCCACTGGGCTTCAGTGATCAGCCAATAATACTGCGGACACACACTTCTAATGGCCTATGTTTTGAAACTGAGTCTAATCTAATGGCGTGAGGTCCAAACTCCTTTTCCAGCACAGCCATTAAGGGATGTAGGTTATTGCTGTTGTCACCATTGATATTTGTCATTGTAATGTAATTAGGGCCCTAAAATGATGCATTACAGCCCTTGGCATAGCTTCTATTAAAATCTTTTCTTCTGCTCACTGAACTGCGACCTGCTTTCTGATGAATAACAGACAGCTAGCTTTAGGGTAAGGAGCAGATTCATCAAAGAAGTATTTTTCAGCTTTGGGGAAGGAGAGGGGGAAAATAGGCAACCTAGGAGGAAAAGCACTAGGGGAGAAAAAGCCACAATACACATTTGAATTTCATCTGACCACTTGAAATTCTGATTGCATCTGATGAATCTTGCTTAGACAATATATTCCCAGTCTTCGAATCACATGGTTAATCAGGGTTCTAATCTGCTATCCATCAGCCTAGGCCAGCACTGTAGCTTCCAATCAAATTTATAGGTGATGTGGCTCATGCATCCCTGAGCAAGTACATTCACAGATAGCCCATTTAAACAGGCAGAGATTCTGAAATACTGCTGTTAGGGTTACTGGATGTTATCATGGTATTCGATGCTTTATAGACACCGCTAACTATTGCCTTCAGTTGCCCATGACATACCAAAATAGCATTAACGGCCCCAATAAAAGAACAATTGTTCATGTCAATATATAACAAAAAGATTGTTTTTGCAGCCATAGTTTGTCAAATACATTAACAATTTTTGACACTTCTATTATGTCTTCCTCTATCCATCAAAATATTCATTAAAAAAAAACTAGTTGCACATATTCTCCCACCCTCAACTATCATTCTATTTCTTTCTTCTATAATTTCCCAGCTTTATTCCATCCCTCCAATAAAGAGGCAATAAAATTGATAACCATCTCTAATTTTAAAAAAAGTTTGAGCTAAATATTTTAGAAAAAAGTTAACTTTAAAAAAGGCATGCTATGAAAATCCTTTATCTATGCACTCCATATCTGGCACATGAATGCTGACAAGCTAACTCCAAAGTGGTGATGGCCAGTGGACTAGTAGCATAACCAGTCAGTAATGAAACAGAAAAATGCTAAGAACCTTTTATCCCTTTCATCTTCACACTCCAACTCAAGAATCATTGAAAATTATTAACTACCATGCAACATGGAAAAGCAATGCCATGCATTGAAAAGAATGCCACGATTCAATCACTAGATTACAAAGCAACAAATACTAAAGCACACAGTATCAAAAACATATTTTCTTTATCATATATAACAAATTACATTAGTCATTTAAGTAAGACAAAAAACTGGTTAAGCCTATGCTTAAATTGAATTGCAACCTCTCAAATAGTTCTAATACAATAAATCTAAATTTTATTTATATTATTTCCACCTACATAATATCCTTTAAAAAAAATTAAACAAATTTTATTTTAACCACATAATAAACTTGAGAGAAAGTACAGATGACTTTATTTTAGTAACCAAAGAGTCATATCAAAATCAATCATTTTAAAATTTTTCTTAGAATTTTTAGCCTCTCATTGAAATAGGAAAAACACTATTACATATTATTGAAATAAAACAGAATAACAAAACATTAGAAAACCATTTTAGCAGCCAACCAGAAAAAAATTTAAAAAGAACAAAAAATATCTAAACAATTATAGTTTCAGAAAAACATTCTTTAATAACATCTCATGACTAATGTTTTCTACAGCAGTTTCTTTGCCAAAATTTTTTTCCGAAGATGAATCTATTTATTTTATTATGTGCTTATCAAGAACATAATACCCACTATGTATAAACACTTTTTTTTTTAAGTGAAGAATAATTCCTTCTTATTCTGTCTGAAATCTGTTTTGGAATAAGTACAAATAAATCTTGCAATTCTCTCCTTCACCCTCCCTTTACCACTACAGAATCAAAGACTATAATTTTAATTCAATCAGAAAATTATCTCGATTTGTTCATCAACCTACTCCAAATTTTCTGAGAAACACTACAACTTTTGGAACTGATTTTGCCTGCCTCTAGATTAAAAAAAAAAGAAATCAGAGAACTAATGAGAAATTATTCCCAACTTAATAAAAATCCATACTAACTATAATGAAAATATTCAAGTAGTACTATTGCTCTACACCAGTGGTTCTCAACCTTCCTAATGCCGCGACCCTTTAATACAGTTCCTCATGTTGTGGTGACCCCCAACCATAAAATTATTTTCGTTGC